GGGCCCTTTCCCCTTGTCCCCCCCCCATTTTCCCTGGGGCAGCCCCTCCCATCCTTGCATCCCTCCTCCCCCCCAGCCCAGTGACCGGTGAGTGCCGTAACTGCATGAGCACTGGTCCGACGGTGGATTTCCCTACGCCAAACTGGTTCCCAATGGATCGGTAGCTGTCCGGCGTAGAGAGCTTCCACAGGGGGATAGCCACACGCTTCTGGAGGGGGATGGCGGGCCTCATGCAATTATCCCATCACCGCAGAGCAGGGGCTAGCCACTCTCAGAGCTCCAGGGAGGTGTCCTTCTTCATCCTGAAGTTCTGGGTCCACTGTCTGTCTCCCCAGCACTCCAGGATGATGCGGTCCCACCAGTCGCTGCTAGTGTCCAGACGCCAGATGTGGTGGGGCACGCTGGCATCCGGGCACTGCTGCGGCTCCTCCATGGCCCCCAGTGAGGCCAGATGGAGAGGTGCACCAGGTGGTGCCAGGCAGCCTCCAGCCATTGCTGGCAGGCTTGCAGCAGCAAGTCCAAAAACTGCACCAGAAAGCCCAGGGCGAGCTCTGGCTCCATGTTGCCAACTGCGGTAGTGGCCCCAAAGGGAACCACCGACATGGACAGGCTCAGAGAACAAGCGGAAAAGCTGAGAACCGGCTGTTCAGGGGGGTCCCTTTAAGCACGAGCCTCAGATAGCCTCAGACAGCAGCCACACAAAGCAACTACTGACCTGATGCGCTGCTGGAACCGGTTTCAGCCGCCCTTAAGTGCGCCCAAGCATCCAATCAGTGTGGACGCGCTAGTTCGAATTAGAAAAACGTTAATTCAAACTAGTTTTTAAGTCTAGATGTGCTCATTTGAATTAGCTTAGTTCGAATTAACTAATTCGAACTAAGTTAGTTCAAATTAGCGCTGTAGTGTAGACATAACCAAAGCTAGTAATGGGCACACTCTTTTATTTTACCCCCTCACAATGTCTGGAAATGTTGGATCCCTCTGTGACGGACCGGGCCGTGTCTGGGCACAGCTGAGGGCATCTGCTCAGGGCGAATTGCTCAAATCCAGGACTTCTTACAGCCCCCTTGACTGGTGACCTCTCCAAACAGGCCACAAACCAGTCCCACAGAGCGCTTCAGCTGCCTGCCTGAAGCCTCCCGAGCAAAACCTCCTTTAGAATCTCTATCTAAAGGTTTATTATTACAAGAAAGAAAAGCCTGAGAGTAAGGTTATTAAAGTACAGTACGTTACATGCACCGAATCTCCCAGTCCTCGATGCAGGCTCTAGCAGAGATGTTGCAGCTGCTGGTTTAAAAGTTCTTATTGCACATCCTACGATCAGGATGGGTTCACAGGTCTTCCGGGCTCTTCAGTCCCTGCAGTGCTGCCTCTGGGATGAAGTGCTGAGCTGAGAACCAAATGGCATCGACCACATGGCCTCTTTATACTCCTTCCTGGCCTCTTCTAGTATGTAGCAGGTCACCTGGTCCTCAGCCTCTCTGTGTTCCCTGCTGGCTGCTCTCAGGACAGCCCCCATTCTTTGGGTGTGTCTTTGGCCCATTGAGAACCATTGTCCCACAGGTAATTAGCATGTCCACAGGCTCCACAGGCTCAGCCCTGCCCAATGCTTAACCACATGCAGGGAAATCTTCAGTTTCCACACAGATTACAGATCTACACACACAGACATTATATACTCACATAAACAGTGTACACAGGATCAGAAAACAACAAGCTCCCATTCAATACCCCACATGGCTCCCTTTCATACAGATTTCTGGGACCAACATCCCCACCTAGGGGTGCAGCAGCGATCTGGCTGCTTCCCTCCAATTCGGTAATGTGACACCCTCCCTTCCTGGATCAAATGTGTTCCATTTATTTCTATTTAACATAAAACTCTGTTAATTATTTGCTGCTGCGCCCAGATCATTGCAGCTCTTTTCTCTTTTCCATGAAAATCAAGGTTTGCATGAAAATCAAATTGGTCCAGTGAGAACCCCGACCCTGAGCCCTGAGCTTAGAACACAAGAACGGCCGTACTGGGTCAGACCAAAGGTCCATCTAGCCCAGTAGCCTGTCTGCCGACAGTGGCCAACACCAGCTACCCCGGAGGGGATGGACCAAAAACAATGATCAAGCAATTTGTCTCATGTCATGCATCTCCAGCCTTCCACAAACAGAGGCCAGGGACACCATTCCAACCCCCTGGCTAATAGCTCTCCATGGACCCAACCTCCATGAATTTATCTAACTTCTCTTTAAATTCTGTGGCAAGGAGTTCCGCAGGTTGACGATGTGCTGTGTGAAGAAGAACTTTCGCTTATTAGTTTTAAACCTGCTGCCCATTAATTTCCTTTGGTGTCCTCTAGTCATTCTATTTTGGGAACTAATGAAGAACTTTTCTTTATTCACCCTCTCCACACCACTCATGATTTTATATTCCAAGGCCAAAATATCTTTTTTGAGGTGAGGAGACCACATCTGTACACAGTACTGAAGATATGGCGTACCATAGTTTTATACTTCCCCTCCTCCTTCTTCCCCTGGCTTCCCCCTTCCAGCTCCCTCCTCCCATATTTCTCCCTCCCCTCTCCCACCCTCTCTCTTCCTTTCCCCCACATCTAAAAGCTTAAACTGTCGCTTCGCGTGTAAACTCATAGGGACAAGTCTTTTTGTTCAATGTGTTTGTACTGCTCCTAATACACTAGAGCCCTGGTCTCTGACTCAGAGATAATAACAACACTATTACTATTATTTTACTCATTAAAGTGTCTAGGAAACTAAATCTGAATGCAGTTCCGTCTTTGTACATGCAGGTCAAGGATGTTGTCGGCTACAACGCCCTGGGACACTGCTTCTTTACTGAGGATGGGCCAGAAGAACGCAACACGTTTGATCACTGCCTTGGACTGCTTGTTAAGCCTAGCACTCTCCTTCCATCTGACCGAGACAGCAAAATGTGCAAGCTGATTACAGAAGGGGCCTACCCAGGGTATATCCCCAAACAGTGCTATGATGTGCCGAGTGTAGGCATTCTGGGCACTCCAAAACAGGACTGCTTTGCTGCCCCTCATCGAGTTAGACAAGCAAGCGGGGAACCCTGAGAAATGTCTGTCCGGGGTGGGGGTCTGATCCCTTTAAGCACAGCCCTCGGCTAGCCTGAAGCAGCAGCTCCACACTTTAAGTCCTAATCTGATGCCCTGCCGGCACTGGTTCTGGCCATCCTTAACCTCGGTTCAGGGTCCACTCAATGTGGACCTGCTATTTCAAATTAGCAAAATCCTAATTCGAATTAGTTTTTAGGTCTAGATGCACTCATTCGAATTAGCTTAGTTAGAATTAACTAATTCGAATTAAGTTAGTTCAAATTAGTGCTGTAGTGTAGACATACCCTGTGAGGGCCCATATTCTCTAGTTTTCTCAACTGTGTCTGTCCATCTAAATTTCATTTTCTTATATTCAGATGGGAACTCTTTAATCCGTCAGGGAACCGACACTTCCTTTTCTCATCATACTTTGGTACCCTCGCCATTAACCCCACCCATCCACAGCGGTCAGAGGACGATCCTCAATGACTCCGTGATCTCTTTCTTGAATAACACCTAATTTAGACTCCATCATTTTATGTGTTTATTTGGGATTATATTTTTCTCTGTTTGGATCTGATGAACCACCTCTGTAGACATCACTAAATACATTCTTATCCAATCCTTCAAACATACCAATCAGAAATTCCCTTTGATTCAAAATTATTGCCAAATTATTGTCGAAGAACTGGCTATATAGGGATGGTCAGCTTCTGCTCAGGGTTAGTTATTGATAATATTTCCCCTACCAATAACCTTAATGCAATGCTCCTCAACAAGGAATCTCTGGGTATGTCTAGACTACATGCCTGTGTCACCAAAGGCAAGTAAATTAATTTACCCGACATAGTCAAGGAAGCGGGGATTTAAATATCCCCCACTTCATTAAAATAAAAATGGCCGCTGCTCTGTGCCAGCTCAGCTGATTGTTGGCACAACAAGGTAGTCAAGACACGGATCGGTCGTCAAGGAAAGCCGTTATCGACCGATCCCCTTTGCCTTGTGAAAGGAGGTTTACAGAATCGGTCGACAACGGCTTTCCCTGTCGACCGATCTGCGTCTTGACTGCCACGTTGTGCTGACAATCAGCTGAGCTGGCACAGAGCAGCGGCCATTTTTATTTTAATGAAGTGGGGGATATTTAAATCCCCCGCTTCATTGACTATTTCGGGTAGTCTAATTTACATGACTCTTTCGGCAGAGGCATGTAGTCTAGACATACCCTCTGGGTGAATCTCCTAGATTCATATAGTTTGCGCTGAATAATACTTTCACAGATCTCTTATCTTTCTCTTCTTCTAACAAGATGATAATATTGTAACTACTTGTATTAATTTGAATATAAACCCTACTTACTCCACAATCACACCTCAAACATACTGCACCAAAGTCCGAAGAATAGAATGAAGATCCGATGGCTTCTTGAGGTTCACTCCAGTCCTAAGTCCTGGGGAACCAGCAATGCATGCCACTTCAAAATCAGGGCTCTTAATTAATGTCTGACTCCCAATTTAAGATCTGTCATATCATCTGTTATTTGTCTCTGTCTACTAAGCCTTTTAACACTGGTAATCCCAAGAAAAGAGTTAAAGGCAAGCCACCACAATTCAATATGTTCCATTTCTCCCAATTCTTACTTAACAGCACAACCAGCATGGTCCATTTGGCTGCTGACCGACAGGACACTGAGCCAAATGGACCATTGGTTTGACCTGATGATAGCTAGGCTTCTGCAGAGAAGCATGAATGACAGAGGGGGATGGACCGAGCTAGACCTAAGCTGGAAAGCCAGAGGTTTTCCAGCTCAGGGTGATAGGCCCTGATAGCCCATGTCTGATGAGTTTGTGCGTTCAGGGAGTGGGAGAGGGTCCTAGAGCAGTTGTAGAGGCCCAGCCATTGTGGGTGGGTGGTCCTAGATACCAGTGGATCCCTGAGATCTGCGCCTAACTTTGGAGATCCCTTGATGCTGGGTCTCCCTTTTCAAGGAAGGGACCTCATTTTCTGCAGCAATCTGAAGCATATTTCCATGTACAGAGCTCTGTGGCATTTTCCTTCCCTGGCCAGCATCCTGGGTTGTTAATACAGGAGAGGGGACTGCAGTAGAGAAATCTGGTCCTTTAGTTAGTTAGTCAATTAGTTAGTTAATTCATTGAGATCACAGTTCTAACAGCATCATCCTACCATTCAGCTGCCCCCAAGGCAGCCATGTGATAATCAGACCCATATGAACTGTGCTGACAAGTCCAGATTTCAGGAACAGAGCCTACTGCAGGGCTGGTACTCCAGTCCTCTGGTTCAGCATCACCCCCGACCAGTCCCTGTGATTTTGCCTCCTGACGTTTGCCATTGGCCATGACGGGGTTGAAGCTGGTGCGCATGAAGCCAAGCAGCTGAGGTTCCCTGATGGCCAAGTGGCCCCAAGGGAAGGTACAAACATGCTGCATAAAGGCAGCTGCCTCCCCATCTGAACACACACTGCCTGCTGCCTGTGCAACCTCTCCGGTGACTCCTTGTGCTTCAGGGTGAAGACCTCTGGTGTCAGCTGCTCCCTTTTACGAACTGGGTACATTGGCAGGTTTCACTGTCTGTAACATGCCAAGTGCAGGGCGAAGGCTGCAGGCTGTTTGCATTGGCAGATGGTCTGAGCAGTGGTAGAGGACTCAGATGGGCTGTTGGGATGACTCAGTGACAGGGTTGGGGGGCAGGCAGTGGTAGTTACCTGGGGACTGCTCCGATACATCTGCCCGTGCTCCATAGTAGGTTTTTAAGCAACACAGGGATTTATAATGAGCTTGGAGAGTTAAACCCTCAATGCCCCGAGTCAGGATTTCTGGGTGGGTTCCAGTTCCAGAGGTGCCATGTGCTCAGGGCGACATCCTGCCAAGGGCTGAGTTGCCAAATCACCTCTGGTTTATTGCATTTTCAAATCTTTGATTCCCTGAGGTGCTCACTCAGCGACGGCTTTTCTTGAGCTGCTGCTTCCCTTCCTGCTTGTTTTCCAGCCGCCTGCTGTTAAACTAAGGGACAAACTGGTTTCTGCCAATAGAGCCAACTCTTATACATCCCCATAGTTAATCCAATGTAGCCGCACAGCAAACATCCCAAGAACTCTGTTTATCCCACCCACTGTTCCTGTGCCTCTGCCGGGTGCTGTGAATTTTCTAAATATATGACAGGCACAGGGAGTGAGCAAGCAAGAGAGAACACTAGACTAATCTCCTGTGGGCAATGAAGTGCCATTTCTATGAATGCTCTGACATTAGAATTTGAAACCCACTTTCTGTAAACCCTCATCATGCCAGAATAACAAGTGCTGAGTTGCTTTGTACTAGTGCGTGAGAGTTCAGAGAATACATTTTTTATATGTATTGATTCCTATGCATGTTACTACTCCAGAGACAGACTGCAGAATGACAGAGCAGGACTGGAGGAGAATCAGTTACCTATTAACCCTTTTGACTGCCAGCACTCAGTATTTGATTTAGTGGGTCTTATCTAGCCCCCCTAAATTGAATGCCAGAAGATTGATCTTCAGTGTGGTAAGTATAGATTTTGCTACATTTCAAGGCACTCGCCTGCCAGAGAATTTGTTGTTGAAGGAAGTTGAGAGGAGAAAGAATAGATTGACATGGGCCTGCTAAAATACAATGTGCAAACGTTACACCAAAAATGCCTCTCATGGTATGCATGTATATTGAAAGCCAGCAGCAGAGTTAAGGAATTTCTAAAGAAAGGACCCAAATTTTACTTGAGAAAGAATTGCAGAAGTGCTCCCAGGAATGTTTGCAATTGTGTTGTGCTACTAACTCTTTGTTCAGAGAACAGTTCCATGATATTGTCTCCTGGAAACTGAGCAGAAGCTGTTTCTTATACTGATATTAAGGAGGTTCAGGAAGATAATCCCTGTGCAAAACTTAGGGAAAAGTCCTGAGAGAACAATTCTGCTGGTCTTTGATTCTGTAAAGAGTTGAGCGGAGGTACAGGAAAGGGAGTGTGATGGTGGCTGTTTATACCCATCAGCATTTGCAGGAGCATGGCTGAAGTAACTGGCACACTCAAGTGGCTTTTAGTGGAAATCTAATGTTTGCCCTGGTCACCTGTTTGTGCTCCCAACCCCGTTCTCCCATCAGCTGAAGCTGCTGTCTATGTTAGCTTAGAACGGTCCTGTTCCTTGCATGGGGAGAACGTGCCGGTTCTGGAAGGAGGAAGAGAAGCCTGTTGGATGATCCATATCTCTGCATTCAGACTATACTGGCAGGCAAATCATTTCTGCTTCTCTTCGAGGTTCTAACTCCGGGGCTACGTCTACACTGGCCCCTTTTCCGGAAGGGGCATGTAAATTTCATGAGTCGTAGTAGGGAAATGCGCGGGGGATTTAAATATCCCCCGCGGCATTTAAATAAAAATGTCCGCCGCTTTTTTCCGGCTTTTAAAAAAGCCGGAAAAGAGCGTCTACACTGGCCCCGATCCTCCGGAAAAAGTGCCCTTTTCCGGAGGCTCTTATTCCCACTTCAAAGTAGGAATAAGAGCCTCCGGAAAAGGGCACTTTTTCCGGAGGATCGGGGCCAGTGTAGACGCTCTTTTCCGGCTTTTTTAAAAGCCGGAAAAAAGCGGCGGACATTTTTATTTAAATGCCGCGGGGGATATTTAAATCCCCCGCGCATTTCCCTACTACGACTCATGAAATTTACATGCCCCTTCCGGAAAAGGGGCCAGTGTAGACGAGCCCCCGGGAGTATTGTGGGAAAGCCACAAATGTAAATTCACACAGTGCTCAAGTAGGCTGTGGAACTCCCAGCCACAAGATAAGAAAGGGCATAGGAGCTTAGGAAGATGAAAAAGGGGCATAACATTTATATAGGTGATCTGAAAATCCAGTTACACTGGTGAGGACACAATTAAAAACTCTTGGATAAGCTCTAAACAATCCTGATTTACACCCCAAAATGTGTCTAGTTTGTGGATGTTGGGAAACATTCTCTGGGAGCATGTTAAGTCCTACCTGCCCATTGCAAGACTTCCTCCACTTTCCTTAAAAGCATCTGAAACTGGCCACTGAATCCTGACTTGATGGACTTCATGTCTGATCCAGTCTGTCAGGGCCTGTCTTCCCACCAGTGCTGTAAATCCAAGACTATGTTCTGGCTGATCTTCCTTGAGCTCTCGGGTGTGTGTTGACCTGCACTGAGGGTATGGCTAGACTACAAGTTTTTGTCGGAAAATGGTACACAAAATGTGCTATGCATTTTGTGAACCTTTTTCTAATTCTTTTGTCAGAAGATGCTTTTCCAACATTGGTCCGTCTAGACTGGGCCAAATGTTGGAAACCCCCCCTCTTTCAGAAGCCCCCTTCTTCCTTGTAGAACGAGGAATACAGGGGCTTCCGAAAGAGCGTGTTTGCTCTTCAGCAAAAAAAAGCAGAAGAGCAAACACATTCCCTGGACACAGTGGAGTATTTTTGGGATACCTTCAGTGTATCCTGAAAAAACTCCACAATCTAGCCATACCCTTTCAGTGGGAAACTGCCTCATTAAATATCACTTAGTGTCTTCTTGTTTCTTTCAGGCAGAAAAGTTCCAAACTCCTTGTGTGGGCTCAGAGATGATGTCTGCTGTCAATGCTTCCGAATTCACACATGTCGTGTTCCTTCTGCCTGGGGTACCTGGGCAGGAAGACGCCCGTATCTGGAGCTCTGTTGCCTTCTGCTTAATATATGCTATTGCTGTTGCAGGCAATTCAGTCATTCTGTTCATTATAAGAACAGACCCAAGCCTCCATCAGCCCATGTACATTTTCCTTTCCATGTTGGCCCTCACAGACCTTGGCTTTTTGATCGTTACCATGCCGACGATACTGGGTGTGTACTTGTTTAACTTTAGGGAGATCAGCTCCCATGCCTGCATTTCCCAGTTGTACTTTTTTGCCGTGCTTATGTTCACTGAATCTGCCGTGCTCCTGTCGATGGCCTTTGATCGCTTCATCGCCATCAGTGACCCGCTGAGATACGCTTCCATCCTAACCCTGCCGAGAGTAGCCAAGATGGGGCTGGTGTGTGTGCTAAGAGCACTTGCTTTAATACTCCCGCTCCCCCTTTTCGTGAGACAGTTCCAATACTGCCAATCCAAAGTCCTCACCCATTCCTACTGCCGGAATGAGGACATGTTGAAGTTGTCTTGCTCCGATATCAGAGCCAGCAGCATGTACGGCTTGATCAATAAAACCTTAGCCATGGGGTTGGACTTGCTGCTCATCTTCGTCTCTTACGTAATGATCCTCAAAACCGTGCTGAGCATCGCGTCCCAAGAAGAGAGCCTCCGGGCCCTAAACACCTGCGTCTCCCACCTCTGCGCCGTCCTCCTCTTCTACACACCAGAGTTCAGCTTGTCGGTGATAACCAGGTTCGTGAAGAACACGTCTCCTTTTCTTCATATGCTTCTGAGCTACATCTCCCTGCTTGTCCCACCCCTGATGAATCCGATTGTGTACAGCGTGAAAAGCAAACCCCTGCGTGCAAGGATCATCAAAGTGTTCTCCAAGTGATGGGTCCATTCATCACCCCTCTGCAATGCTAGTGACACCAGAGACAGAAAAACGTGCCGTGGTCACCTCTTCCATCTCTAATCATTACATCAGAGAGGTCATTAGTTACTGATAGCCACTATGTCCAGCGAGGTTCAGATGGAATCTAAATACAGGGGTACTGGGAGAGGGGCTTGTGATGGTCCACCCTCCTCCCATGCTTTATGAAATTGACTTATGGATACAATAATTTGTGACTCAAAGATGCTTTGGACAAAGTTCCTCATGTAACCTATCAATCCCTATGCCACAATCAATTGGAACTGTATGTCTCATTTTGATGTATGCATCCCTCTTGTAAGTAAAGTTCGAGATAGGGAATGGTTTAGGTTTAAATGTACAAATGAAAGCCATCAAGGGTGCTTCCAATGCTGGGACCCCTCTATGTCTGGGTGATCACCTTTAAATAGCCTCCTTTGTCACTTAAGTCTAAGCCAGTGGTCCCCAAACTTTCCGGGTGGTGGGCGCCACGCAATGTTGCCAGGCCACCCGGGAGTGAGGCCTTGCATGCACCAGGCACCCAGGGGCGGCACGAGGCGGGCTAACATAAATGCCCTGGCGGGCACTGCGTTGGGGACCATTGGTCTAAGCAATCATTGATCTTGGGAAAACATGTAACCACCCTAACGTGAAGTGTTTCACCAGGAAATTTTCCATGAAAGGTGAGAGGGTAAACACCAATTTCCTTCCCAAAGTTAAAATCTATAAGACAATGAGAAGCGAGCTGTCCTGTGGTTTTTGGCTGGTGTGACACCCAAGAAAATAAACCAGAGACCCCAAGGATGAAAGATCCTCCCTGGCATGGTGGTTTAGCTGAAAAAAAGAATAGTTTTAAGGAAATTTTGCTATAAACTTCAGTGTGTTAGAACCAGCTCTAAGTTTTCTGTCCTTTTAAATTTGCAATGTTGTTTGCTTTTTCTCTTTTCACTTGTAACCACTTAAATTCTACTGTTAGTACTTAATAAAATCATATTTATTTATTCTCAGGCCCAGCGTCAGTGATTGTTATCTCAGGGAACAATGAGGGTATGCATACATTACCCCGCTAGTTCGAACTAGCGGGGTAGTGTAGACATACCCTGAGTGTTTACCTCCACCTTTCATTTTACAGGGGGTTTACCTAACTGATCTATTTGGATTCTGATCCCTTGTGGAGAGTGCTTTTCCTGATCGCTGTGGCTGACACTGCATTGTCCTCATACCTGAGGTGATTCCGGGTCTGCCTTGCTCTTCAGAGAGGTGTTGGGGTGGGGGTGATCTCAGCTCCAGCTCTGAGCCTTGGCTGGGGGACACAAGGAGATCTGTCCCAGCAGGACAGGTGGTGAGAATCGGCATAGAGCTAGGAGGTGAGGGCCAATGGTGAGGTCAGCACAATGGGAAGCAGCTGCATGGGTTTTTCCATGACCGTGCCCTGTCACAGGGCTGTTCTCACCCTCTAGTGAGAAAAGAGACCAAAGCAGCCAGCACCATTTCCCGAGTGACTGTATTCGTGGGGAGCCAGGGAACAGGTGGGATGCAACATTGGTGGCTCCTCCATCCTTAGAATTCCTGTCGATACATTCAATAAAGAGAAGGGACGTGGATATTTTTCCCCAAGACACCTGCCCTATCTCTGTCCCATCTCTGGTTAAAAATCCGGGGACCATGAAAAAAGCTGCCGAGCTGTTCTGCTGTCACAGTCCTGGCCCTTCCTGAGCACTCTGGGTGCTGTGTGATCCATGGGGCTGCACCAGCCGTAGGCAGAGCCTATTCCTGGAGTGCAGTCCTACTCACTGGCTCCTCATCATTACCCAAGGCTGCATCCCCTCTCCAGGACAGAAGCCAGACCTGGACCATGTTAAGAGGCATCCAGGGCTCTAGAGCTGCAGTGAGAAGACCCACACCTTCCCTTTTCCCTGGGTATGATATGGCAGGTGAGGGGCTAAATACAAATCCGAAACCTGCATCTGTGCCTTCATGACAGAAACCACAGGGGAGCTGGAGAGTTCAGGGCTCTCCAAGGTAGTCTGGCTGGAGAGCACCACCTTGGAGGAGTTGGAGGAGCAGGGGCAGAGGGACTAATGGAAAACAATGGACTCCAAGCAGAAGGTGGAATGTTTTTTCGGCAATCCTGAACCAACGCTGAGCCCAGCAAGGAAGCTGGTGGGAGGACTCTTGAGTACAAAAAGAAAATGAAGTGTAGGAAAGCCTGTGCATTGGAGGATAATGAATTAATGCAACCTCACAAAGGGGGTATTGACTGATATACTCCATACTGAGAGTGATTCATTGCTTAAAGGGAAGGATAAAGTGCCTGTAGGTGTAAATGAGACCATAAAGCAGGGGGTGGGGGGTGTCTTTATGGCCTCTGTTACATTCTGCTCTGATGTTTTTCATGCAAACATGTTTTTGAATATGAATATGCATAACTCAAATATACTTTATGCAAAAGAGGGCAAGTAAACTCTCATTCAAGATCTAGTAAGCCCCTTAATGTGTATATTCTTTTTCTGTTCAGCATTCATTCCTAGAGTTGGCTTTAAAATATAGTGTAAACCAGTTTATTAATCTAGGTTTTCTAGAGAAAGCCATTAGTGGTACTTCAGGAACTTAATGGCCCGGTGCTCAAAACAAAGATCTGCCAATAGTCTAGTTTTTCCTCTATGCCTAAATGGTGGTTGGTCCTGGCCAAGCCATTGATATCTCCCAGAAGCAAACATCAGAAATAGTAGTACAGAGCTGCTACTTATGACTTCAAAAGCAAAAATGATACCTGCATATGAGCAGGATAAATAGAATCAGCGAATCATCATATTTTATAGACATCCCACTTGGGCCACTTTGTACACTTTGGTGTAAACATGCATCAGTGGTAGCAACAATGTTTTTATGTTCATTACAGACTCCACTAATATCACACATACTAATGGTGGATTATCAGTTCTTCCCCTTCCTCTTCCCATTTAAAATTTGACCATTATGTCTCATCTCTCGGGTAACTTATGATTTCTTTTCTCATCGTCCTTCGGCACGCTCTCCAGTAACCCTGCGCATCCACACATCTCTCGGGTAACTTATGATTTCTTTTCTCATCGTCCTTGGGCACGCTCTCCGGTAACCCTGCACATCCACCGTGGTCAGTCCCTCTGTCTGGACCCGATGCATCATGCTGGCAGAGATCATTAATACGCTTTTGTCCAATCCCTCCCACGCAACCAACTTCAGGGAAATATCCATGGATGGAGCTTTTTGGAAATTCCCTTCCCTGGCCAGCATCCAGGGTGGCCAATAGAGAGGCGGGGACTTGTGCAGAGAAATCTTCTTTCTTTCTTTCTTTCTTTCTTTCTTTCTTTCTTTCTTTCTTTCTTTCTTTCTTTCTTTCTTTCTTTCTTTCTTTCTTTCTTTCTTTCTTTCACTAGCTACCTATATAGATAGTTAGTAAGTGAGATCACAGGAGTAACAGCATCATCTTTACCATTCAGCTGCCCCCAAGGAAGCCAAGGGACTATTCAGACCCGTACAAACTGTGCTGACAAGCCCAGATTTCAGCAATGGAACCTGGAGTAGGGTTGGTGCTGCAGGCTAGTTGTTTAGCATCTGTCCCCATCCCCTGTGATTTGGACTCCTGCTGTTTGCCATTGGTTGTGATGGGGTTAAAGCTGGTGCACATGAAGCCAAGCAACTGAGGTTCCCTGATGGCCAAGTGGCCCCAAGGGAAGGTACAAACATGCTGCATAAAGGCAGCTGCCTCCCTATCTGAACACACACTGCCTGCTGCCCCTGCAACCTCTCCGATGACTCCTTGTGCTTTACAGTGAAGATCTCTGGTGCCAGCGGCTCCCTTCTAGCAGGAACTGGGTACGTTGGCAGGTGTCACTGTCTGTAACATGCCAAGTGCAGGGCGAAGGCTGCAGGCTGTTTGCATTGGCAGCTGTTCTGTGCCGCGGCAGAGGACTCAGCTGGGCTGTGGGGATGACCCAGTGACTGGGCTGGGGAGCAGGCAGTGATAAAAAGCTGGGAACACCTCTGCTACATCTTCCTGGGATCCATAGTACAAAGAGGTTCCTAATGAGCTCGGAGTGTTAAGCCCTCAGTGCTCCTGCGATAGGGGAGGTCCCAGACAACCCTTTCGGGATGATTCCCGGGGTGCTGACAAGGCCACTGACACCCTCTTTTTTGCTCTCTATATTTTCTTGCTAGATTGTCCTGATGGGTGAGCACCCTGGTCTCCCCTAGCCAAGGCACAGAGCTGAGATCACGCACCCTCTGAAAGCAACGCAGTTTAGGGCCCAGCTTTCTGGGATACCAGTCCCCAAACAGAATCAATTCCCCCCCCATGAATTACTTGGGTAAGACCCCATTAGCAATGGAAGGGGGAATGTGCTCATTGATTGCTTTCCCAGGTAAGAATTATTCTCCCTGGGCTTGATAGTACATAAAAGTGATTTTAATACGTACAAGCAGTAGGACCGAAGTGGTTGCAAGAGAGAAGAGACAGAGCGAAGTAGATTAAAACTCAACCTCTCCCCCAGAAAACACGTAGCTAGGTCAACACTAAAACTTCCGTACAAAGTTACTACAAATTTTGCCAAAAGGCAAAACTTTCCTACTTTCCTATTGTTTTTAAAGATTCCTTTTTTGCATGGGACGTCACCTAGTCAAGCTCTACCAACCACTACTAAGACTTAAGGACAAACAGCTATTTTCACATGATACTCTCAATGGCTTTCATGAACACATTTAAAAACCATAAAACATCCCATATACCATGGCTACATCTAGACTGGCATGATTTTCTGGAAATGCTTTTAACGGAAAATTTTTCTGTTAAAAGTATTTTTGGAAAAGCGCGTCTAGATTTTCCGCAAAAGCACTTTTTACGGAAAAGCGTCCATGGCCAATCTAGACGCGCTTTTGCGCAAAAAGCCCCAATTGCCATGTTTGCGATCGGGGCTTTTTTGCGCAAAACAAATCTCAGCTGT